TTTGCAATGCGTTTCTGGTACTTTACTGTACCTCCCCCTTGATGCTTTTTTTTTTTTTTTCGACTAACTTGCTGGCTTGTCTGGATGCAGGTATGGAGTATAGCGCAGAAGTGTCAGATGCAGATTTCTCGCTTAGTCAACCAGGCAATAGTGTTGTTCTCGGTTCTTTCTTTTGGGCTCAACTGGCCCTGTAGATGCTCATCAGCCTGTTTGTGCTGCCTAGTACCTGCAATATGACGTGGCATATAGCCACTTCCCACATCGAATCTTAGTCCCTGATGACGATACACAGCCTGCCTATCAAGAGGGGTAGGAGAGAAGTCTATTCCTACTCGCAGAACACTGGACCCCGACACATTGCATTTGGACCATCCAGACTCTGATGACTCAGACTCTCATACACTACGATGATCCAGATCCAGTCCTGACTTCCAGTCCAGCAGCAGTCACCTTCAGAGGGTAAGAGAGAGAGAAGGTAGGGGACACACACATGCATGCAGGTTCAGGGAAAGGAGGTGCTTCTCTCTTCTTGAAGATACCGCCGATGATGCTCCACGACGCTCCGCACGCTCCAGGTAAGTATACTTCGCCACTTCTTCTTCGGCCTGCCTCCCCCACTATCACAATACTTTTTCTCTTCCTCCCTCCTTCACTTATCTTCCATCACCACATCTCTCTTGCAGGCCTTGGTCATGCCAGCGCTATGAGTGCAACGAGCATTCTGCTCCTGAATGAGCATGTCACGCATCATCCTTGCACACAATGATCAAGAGTCTCACACATTAGACAAAGATAGATGAGAAGAGAACCGAGTTGCACAACTTATATTATCAAAAATATGATTACAAAGAGTTTCATAGTTCCCCAAGTCCAACGCTCATCAACATAATGCAGATCCTGCATTGACTCATCAATGCGACTTCAATACATCAGCACTACTCCTGCAGATTGTACCCTGGTCATCAATGTGGTCACCGCTCATCAGCGCCACCTCTGCAGTTCAAATCCAAGGTATCCTTCATAGCCCAAACCTTGATTGAACACTCTCTGTCTCAGTCTCTTTCTCCTACGATGTATACACACTCTTCACTCACAAGGATCTACTCTGAATACTACTCATAGCTATCTACTACTAACCCTCTAATTCTATACTAACTGGCTGGGCAGCTATGGCTGCATCCCTTCCAGCGCACAGTCTTCCTCCTCCTTCCTAGCGCATCTTCATCCTCCAGTGCTGCTCCTGCTGACTGGCGCACAAGTGCTTCAGCACTTCCACGCACAGAATGYCAGTGGAGATCTGGCRAGGAATGAGGCTGGCTGCKTCCTTTATAGTGCTAGCCTCTCCTCGSTGGGTCTGCATTTGGCTGCTTCAGGCCTTCCTTTGTCCCAGACCCTGCARTGCATGTGTCCCAGTACTGTCCCAATGAAGTTCAACTGCWGCTGAGGGCACTCGGCCTAGATTTGGACTTGGATGTCTGGATCTGGACTGTYCCTGAGACTTAGACCAAAACTGGGACTCTGTTTATTGGCTTTACTTTCGGACAGGCACAACTTAGATGAACAGACACACTYACTGCCTGAACAGACACTCACATTGTGCGAATAGACACTTCCTTTTGCACGAACARACAGACTGACTGCACGTACAGACATACCCTTATCTGAACAGACATCATGTGTGCATCTCCTGGTCTTGCTGCAATGACCTTTACTTTAGTTTAGGATGTGCCCCTTGCTAGAGAACTTGACCTTTGACCTGCTTTCACGTTTCTGGGTCCTGGCGAGATACCCTTTCACGCTACTTTACTTTCATGAGGCCTGTATCGGGTAAAAGGCCCTTTTACTGTTCGCATACACCGGATCACCCTGGATATCCCACACGTGTTCCTCTGCACTCTCACACACACACACACGCTACACACTAACTCTAGCTATGGTGGCTATGGCCGCAACTACTCTATCGCTACGCTACGCTCCTTCTCTCTCGCCCACTTCGGCTCCGGGCTTACTGCAGACTAGGAATGGAGATAAAGACTATATACGTTGCTCTTGCACTGAGTGACAACAATGACAAGACATCACAAGCTCTGTTTTTCATATGGTAACATTAGTCATGCAAGAGAGAACTCTTGGTCTCATTCAAGATGGAAAACATGAAAACATTTTTCAAAAAATAATGAAAATATAAATGACTAGATGACCCGTTGCGGCTTCGCCCGCAAAAACAGAAAAAGAAAAAAGCACAAAAGAAAGAAAACGCATAAGGAACTGCCCTATCATATGCCGCTTCTTTCACAATAAGAAAAGGAAGGGCCTGAGAGCAAACGAAAACCCACGTGCAAGAAAATAGCAGGGAGTACCACCGAACATTCTTTTTCTTCATCTTTGCGTGTTTGTTTGGGGAGGCGTTACCTTTGCAGCATCGTTTTTGTTTTGTGCTGTGCAAGAACTCTGCACTCTTCTGAGAAAATCCTATCCATTGTCCCGTTGATGTTTTTGCAGCTAAAGATTCAGATTCAGACTTTGTTTGCTGTGTTCTCTGCATATGTTTGTGATCAAGCGATCTTGCATGTATGCCCCGTGCTTACTTGTTGATTTTTGACGCTGTGTGTGCAAGTGCATGCGCGTGTGGGTGAGTCTCAGTTTGGTGGGCTCCGATGATGTCAGTGATGATTGGCCCGGGGA